CCAGATTCAAACATCGTCACTGCTGAACTGTATCAAATATTTAACGAAATTTTAGTACCAACCATTCAAAAAGTCTCCCCCAAAATGGAAAAGGCAGGAACACTTTCTTAATAAATCTGTGATATTAGTATTACTCTGATACTCAAACCAAAAAATCACACAAAAAGATCAATATTGTGTTTTAATTCAGTGTTTTTTAATTAAACAAAATACTAGCAAAGCGAGTCCACCAATAAACAGAAAGTATCATTATTTAATGGCAAAGAGAAATTTATCAAAAGGTTCTACTGAGATTATTTCTGCAATGAAAATTAGTTAATATAATGTACCACACTGAGAATAAAAGACAAGGTTCTGGAGATATAGTTCAATTGTTGAGTATTTTCTTAACATGTACAAGGCCCTGAGTTCAATCTCAAGTAGTGTATACAATACAAGCATAAAGAATTAAAGACAACAATACCATGATCACTTCAACAGATAAAGGAAAACAACAGTTGGCTAAAATTCATGATTAAACCAATTCATGATTAAACACTCAGAAAACTAGGCTTAGGAGATAACTTTCCAAAACCAAAGGATAGATTAAGAAAAACGCAGAGCTAGCGTCATACTTAATAATCAAGGATAATCTTCCTGTGCAGATCACAAAGAATACAAAGATGGTTGCTCTAGACTCATAAAACACAATGCTCTATTGTTGGATGATATGTAAGCAAGTAAATCAGGGAGTTGCAAAGAAACATGATGTCACATCCAAAGTCTGCGCTTGTTCTCAAAGCAAACCTTAGCTGCTTCGCCTGAAATTAGAATTTTGTTTGGGAAAATACAACTGGAAAGTACTTGACTACTTGATAGTCTTTAAGATATATGACAGAATGTGTGAAATCCAGTGGGGAGGTTAGAGGGGATACAGATAGTGAAGCGGGTCTAAATATGATTAAAATATTTGTATGAAATGCACAAAAATTCAATAAAAATATATATTGTTTGAAAGTTTAGTAGGTTCTTCACTTTTTGTTTGCTGTCATAGTCATAGAAATTAATACATGTAACTAAAAATGTTCCACAGCCTAACAATAAAATGAAGGTACACCCATGAGCTCACATTAAAGAGTCAACAATATTTACAACAACCTTACATCAACCTGACTAGGATTCAAACTCTGTGAGGGCATGAATCTTTGTCTGCCTTGTTCACTGCCCTATCCTTCAAAGCTTAGAATGGTACATGATATGTAGTAGGGACTTCGTGATTTATGTATGAATGCATGAATCGATGCAAATCTTTACTTCTTGGGGCCACTGCACCCAACCATACCTTAGAGCTTGTCACTGTCCTAACTTTGAGGACTAATGTGATATTTTTCCCTATATTCCTTGACAATATTGCTAGTTTTGCTTCTGTTTGAAATTTAAAAAAGAAGAATTATCTGCATATTGTTGTGAGTTAGGTCCATTACATACTAATATGTAAGATTAACTTTTACATACTAATATGTGGATTAACTCAGTTTTTGTCATTGCTAACTTATACTTTATTAAGTGAATTTGCCATCATCTATTTCTCCTTTCTCCTGTCAGTGGACATTGTTTCTGCTTTTATAAAGAAATCTGCTGTAAGCATTTCTGCATGTGCCTCCCAGTACACATGAGCCTAAGTCTCACCAGGATATGAATCTGGGAGAAAAGACTGCAGCCAGAGTTTTCATTTCCAACTCTCAAAGTTTAGCCCACGAATCAGAACTACAGCATGCCCTTATCCACACTCAGCTAGAGTCAGGAGAAGTGCTGTACAAAATATTTTGAGTTCTGGGTAGAAGAAATGGGAGAAGGGAGAGAGGAGAAGAAAAATGTGTCTAGTGAGACCCAAAGTTACTTCAGCCCACTAGCTGCAGTTGGTGAAAGTCCGGATTCTAAAAGCCTCTTCATTATTTCTTCTAGTAACTTTTGAGGTGACTTTTTTCAAACTCATATCTACTCAACTATAAGGGTTATTGATTGTTTTAAACTTATTGATTACAAATTTGATAAGATTGATTTAAACAATTTAACTCCATTTAAAATTTTTATGTGAATAAAAGTTTATATTTCTTTAACTTTTTAGGTAATAACAACAACATAATATCTAACCTCATAACAAAATTGAAGTGTGCAATGCTATATTAACTTTAGGTAGAATCTGCACAGTATACTGTAATTTACATTGCTTAATGGACACTTTATATCCATTGAAGAGTAACTTTGTTTCTATTTTTTAATCACTCTTCACAGAAGATCCCTTATCTATTTTCTTCATTCCTCCATTTTGTAAACTGACATTTATTTTGTACCTAGATAGTAATTATCATGCTGCCATTTACCCATAACTTTGAAAAATAATTCTGTCTTCATCCAGTTGTGATGGAACACAACTTCAATCCCAGCATTGAAGAGGCAGAGGCAAGCAGATCTCTGTGAGTTTGAGGCCAGCTTGGTCTACATAGAGGGTTCCAGACCAGTCATGCAATATAGCGACACCCTGTCTCTAAAAACAAACAACAATAAAATGTTCTGATTTTCATTTGCTTTCTCATACATAGCATTTGGAACTCATTATATTATTTGCTGTATTATTTTACTATTTTGTGCTTCCTGAATTTCTCCTCTACTGGATGGTGTTCTGAAAGGGGGAAAGAAAAATACCTTGATCATGACTATATCTCTGGAGTCTAGCCTTATGCCTCATTCATAGTTCAGTTGAATATGAATCTCCCTGTTCTCAACTTTCAGTCATATTACATGGTTTGCCCTTTGGAGTCAGACTTAACAATGATGGAGTCCTAACATTTCCATATCTACATGCGTGCTTTTGGATAAATTTGTTTAATTATTTTGTGCATTAGAATGTAGAGATGATGCAAATCAGCTTGCAAAATTGTTGGGACAATTAAATGTGATGATATATATGAAATGTCTGGGCCTGTTGACTGCCTAAATACATATATTTCTGATTTTATTTTAATTGTTTGTGTTAGTCATAGAGGGTTAAAAAAATAAGAAAGAGGAAGAAGAAAGTTGTGAATTTTTTCTTCTCCTTCTTTCAGGACTGTGATGGTGGCACGATTTTTAGCCAAGTAAATGACATTTCAACCAAGAGACTAACGTTCTTTGCATTTGGCAGCATTGTATATTTGAAATGCGCTCTTTTCCTTGAAACACTTGGCTCTGCTGGCCGTGATTTAACAGACTCCTTCTCCATTTCTGATTTGGGCATGAAAGTGAGGACTTGGGCAAAGAGAAGACTGGCCACTGCGGCCAGCTGTTGAACTTTCAGATTCATAGAACAAATGTGTGTGTGTGTGTGTGTGTGTGTGTGTGTGTGTGTGTGTGTGTGTGTGTGTGTGTGTGTGTGTGTGTGTGTGTGTGTGTGTGTGTGTGTGTGTGTGTGTGTGTGTGTGTATTTTAAAATGTTTTCTGTTGTACTTAGATCTTGAAGAAAGTCTGGTAATTCTGTCTTAGAAACTTATGAAGTACAGCCTAGGGAGAAGTTGTCTTTGTTCTCACCTTTCCAGGACTGCTTACTTGGGGCTGAAGGGAGAATAACTTTGGATACTTTTTTGGAATCTGGAGACTATGTTAAGCATGAAAACAAAGAACCATTGGTAGAAATCACATGTGAGTAGTGAGAAGACAATAGGGGAAAGGGCATAATTTGGATTTGGAATCATCTAAATGTGGCATCAAATCATTTTAGGTTTGTCCTTTCTTGGTCTCACTTGTTTCTTCTGTACAATGGATGTACTAATGAGAAGATAATCTTGTCTTAATGATTTGTAGGGCGTGTTGAAACCACTAAGTGTTAGAAGGAGTCTCCCATTAGAGGTCATTTTCCTTCCTTCCTTGGTAGAAAAGAAGTACTGATAAAAGAACAATTGTAGTCCTGTGCATAAGTGTGTGGAAAATTGCCATCTACCTGAGGCAAATTAGACTAGGAGGTCACTTGAATTTGATTTACACTTTGACATATGACATAGGGCATAACAACGAGAAAACTTGACTTTTAGTTAGTAGTTAAAACCACCTTCTATTTGTTCAAATGAATTAATTATTATAACTATCACAAATTAAGATTCCGAGAAGGTTTTAGATTTGGTATACTGACAGTTCTCCTTTACATTCACCTGGAAGAATTTACGCACAGATCTTGGTGACAGGCAGTTAGTGTATGTGACTTCTAAAGCGCCATCCTTCCCCAAGGAACTTGTAAGTCTTGTAATGTCCAGGATTTTTACAGAACTCCAAAAAGTGTTCCACACTTCTGTGTGCCATTTCTCAATACAAACATCTGGCATGGGGACACTCTTTGTGTTACAGAGTTGGGGACAGGGATATTGGCCATGTGGTACAGAGAGGCTCATAAGGAAAGCAAAAGCATCGATTTTTGAAAAAAGATCAATGAAAACCTTCACTTTTAAATTAATCCCAAAGCAATTTATAATTGTATCCATGTTGCTCCTCACAGCAGTAATTCAGTAGGATAAAAGATAATATTCCGTTCTTCAGGTAAGACCCAAGGCTCTGAGAGTCAAAACACATTAAATTCTTCTAACGTTTGATATGTTTTGATCATAGGTCTCTCTTTGAAGGAAGTAAGGTCATATAGTTAGGTTCATGCCATTTAACGACTTTGTAAATGTAGTCTGAGCACTTTAAGGCACCTTAACTTCAGATTCCCTGCCTTCTTCCTTCCCTTAAACACATAGGACCTATGAGATTGGTTACCCACAGAAAGCGTGTTTAATTCCTTGATAGGACCCAAAATCTTCTGCCCATGCCATAGGAAACCCTACAAACATCATCACTAGGTGAGGTTCCAGCACCTTCACCCTGAATCACTTGAATACTGAATAATCATTATACATATTGCTTACACATGAAGACCACGGAATTCTGACCCATTTCCGCCACCCACTAATATATGCTGCTTTGTTTGTGTGTGTACATGTGTGTCTTTCCAGCTTGGACAGTGGCAGGGACCATGTTTTACCCATCGACTATTACTTTCCACCCCAGAAGACCTGCCTGATCTGTGGAGATGAAGCTTCTGGCTGTCACTATGGAGCTCTCACTTGTGGCAGCTGCAAGGTCTTCTTCAAAAGAGCCGCTGAAGGTAAGAGGGCCAACCCATTGCCGGCTATTTCTCTTTCTCTTTTGACACCCAGTGAGAGATACCAAACATTCATTTCACTGAATCATCTCAAGGACTGAGTTGTTTGCAAGGGCCCTCTCATAGAAACTAGATAAAAGAAGCAAATGTTCATATGTGCTGGACTGCCTCTAGCTGCCTTGACTGTAGAAGCAATGTAGGTGATGAAGTTGGTCCCAGCTGGTGCTTCTTGTTTAGTGGCTCCTAGGAATGAAAGCAAAATTATTTGAAAAACTAAATTTCCTTGCTGCATGTTTTCTACTCTGCTGCCTTGTTCGGGAAAATTTTTTCCTTACTAAAAAGGCTGGAAGTGGAGAAACCCCAACTGACTCCCCAGGCTGTAGTGAATATAAGACTGTTCCTTAGAAAAAGCTGCCCGGTCTAAACCCCAGAAAGGAAGTGTTCTGGCTGTTCAGCAGACCATCAGTGTCTGCACCTGCTCCTTCCTGCCTGCTGCCTCTTTGGGACCTCTCTTTGCAATAACAGCTCCATGGTAGGTAAGAACCCAAAGGAAAGCAAAACTTTTATTCTCCACAACACAGTCCTGCCTCAAGGCATGAACATTGGTCTAGAATCTTAAGGTAAGTAACATTTTATATCAGGCTAAGTGGGATGAAGTCGTGGTTTTAGCTTGTGTGTACAGACTACAGAGGTATGCAGTCTACATCATCTAACAGGAACTCTGACTCCTAGACCTTTTCATGCATTCTAGTGATTCTGTCCTTCTTAATTGCCCTGGGCTTAAGCTGCCTATTCAGACACTATGCTATGCTATCCTCACTCTGTTAGGAACTTCTTTCTCAAAGATATCCTAGGTAAGCATCCCCTAGATGTTCTATTGTGGCACCAGACCCAGTTTTAAATACAGTATGCACTCCTGCTCTAACTTCCCACAAAGGAAGTACTTCCTGCCAATGATTTTTTTTTCCTTCCTTCTGTCTACCCTGGAAGAGTTGAATCCTAAATCTGAACTAAAGCAGGGAGCCTTTCCCTTTATAAAAGAACTGTTTGAAAAGGCAAGTATGTAGGTTTCTCCTTTCATGAGAAATATGCCGATGCCTGTCACAGCACAACACAAGCACAAGTAAGTACTGTGCATTAAGAGAAAGGGTGGAAAGTAGATACCCTTAAACTAGTCTCTTTGCTGATAGCCAGTTGGAGCAATAAATGTAGTTTCAACATTTTAAGTAGATGACAGGAATATATGCAAAGCAGACAGCTGTCATTTGGCTTTCTTCCAATTCCCAAAGCGATAAGGAGGCAACCAATATTTGGTAACACCGAAAAACAGGCTGCATGTTTCAGCTGTTCCCCTCAAGTGCCCCATTGTTGCTATTCATGCCAGACTAGCATGAGGTCCGGGGCCCTAGCACCTAAGCCTAAGCAATTAGAAAGAGCTTAAGACTAGTGTCTTGCTTTCTTACCAATACTTAGGAAAGAACAGCTATCAGGAAAGGAAGTAAAGACATGCTCCAGGGAGTTTGGATCACCCCAGTTTCCCCAATGCAACCCTCCTGCTTCCCAACACCCTGTCCTCCCACAGGCCCTATCTCCACAGCAAGGAATGAAGCAGAGTAGTCATCTCAAGCTGCTAGGGCAGTAAATTTGACACGTCAATAGTAGCCATATCAGACAAATGAGTTCAAGCGAGCAGGTCAACCAGCAAATGCAGTAGACATATCAGATCATAACCAGTGCCACCTTTTGGCTTTACAAATCTGAGTAACTAAATGGCTGTCTTTAGAAAACAGGGAAAATGATCAACCATATTGTAAAAGGGAAGATTTTTCTCAGTCATGCTATACTATCTATCATACACAACAGCTTTCTTCAGAAGTTAGGAGTGAAGGAAGAAGGCAGAAGGGCAGTTAGTTGCCAGGGCTGCATGAGAGGAACTCCTCTATCATGTGGGTTCTGAACTACTTGGCACCAGGAAAGACACAAGTTATAAAGTGGAGAGGATCATCCAGTGTTCAGAACAAAGAAATCCAGCCTGGTCTCAAAATGATTCAGACCCTGGAGTTATTTGAGCTAGTGAAACTAATGTTTTCTTTAAGAAAAAATGAATCTTTATGAGCTCATGGGACCAAGATCACCAATGGATTTTTTACAAGGCCATGTAAAGTAAATCATCTGAGCCCTTGGTTAACTTTGGAAGATGGGCCCTAGGTTCCAATTCTCAACCTTTTGAGAGACAGAAGAAAGGTGTTTTAAGTGTAAACAAAATAAGGCAAAAATAATTACTATTACTGGTGTTACTTTCTCCTAGCATGTGTTAAGGTAGGTAGCTTGACTTTATCAGCAGCGTTATCTCTATTTTTAAAGCAGAGGACTGTCTTATTACCCAAAAAGAACATTCATTGATATTTTCATTTTTGAAATACCCCTGACTTCCTCTCTGAAAGTGTTGAAGTTTGGAATTCTGTGTTAGAGTGAGTACGATCCCAAATATTTCTCTTCTTCGCTCATTGTCAGTTAACACAGACTGAGTATTCAGAGGGTTGACTGTCATTTTATGCATATCTATCTCTAGACTGAGTACAGGTACAAGAATTAAAAGCCAGGCATGGCAGAGAGACATTCATTTCTAGCTTTGATGTATCATAAAGCATGGAGTTCTAATGGTGATAATACTGATGGCTGGGTGGGAGTAAGGCTGGACAGGGAAGGCTCTACATATTCCTGAAGAAGAAATACTAGTACTAGGGCCTAGAGGCAAAAATCACTAACATCTAGATCGTGAAAGCAGTGGAAGAGCTGGAACCAAGCAGGTATGAGGGTGAGAATGGATATGTTTGCAGCTGGTCTATGAAGAGAAACTGTGTTTGTGGGGGGTTAAGGTAACTGGGAACTGAAGGGAAGGCATGTCAAATACACAAGAGACCAGGTAGTTAAGAGACCAGGAACTTAAGGAAAAGGTGATGCCCCTACACAGGGTGCTAAGAAATTTAGTTGGATAGTTTTAGATATGAAATTTCCCCTTTGGGCCTCAGTTTTCAGTTTGTAAAATAGATGCTTTAAGAAATGCTCTGGGAGTTAGAGAGATGGCTTAGTGGTGAAGAAAGTCTATTGTTCTTGCAGAGAATGGGTGTTCAAGTCCCAGCACCCACTTTGGGGTACTCGCAACTGCCTATAACTCTAGCTCCAGGGGGTTAAGTACTTTCTTCTGAGCTGGGTGGCCACTTGTATTCATGTACACACACACACACAAATTAAGAATAAATCAATTAAAAAAATAAATGCCTTGCCAGCTTGTTTTTTGGCAATTATACAAACTATAAACATCACCATTCTTTTAGCAAACAGACGTATTTATACCTATATGCACTTGGGGTTTGACTTGCTAGCATGGCAAACTCCAGACTTCAATCAATAAAAACTTAATCTGCAAACATAGCCAGAAACAGCTGAGAGAGTGAATTGTGGAGAGGCTTGGTTAAAATTGTGACCATGGCTGACTAAGTTACTTTCTTTTCCATTTTCTCATCTGAAAATCAGGATCTGAATCTCCATCTCTATCATCATGTTTCAAAGAGGGTTAATTAATCCATCATGCACATTATGTGCCCAAGAATTTACTATTTTTCAGACGTTTTCTAGTAAAATATTTGAGATTGTACATTCATTTGTTTTGTACACATGGAACACTGTTTGGTACACATCATAAAATCGAAACTGCAGTTTACATTCTGAACTCAAAGAATTACACCATCCTCACTGATGTTTACAATAGGTCCCAATTTAGTTCCCTTGGCAAATTTTATATAAGTATGGCTTTGATTTTCTCTCTCGCCCCAGGTTTTTGTGAGGAAAAAAAATGTGAGTGAACCTTTACTGAACTCTTTCTGTCCTTTCAATCCACTCCTTCCCACCTCAACTCATGTGGAATTAAATGTTACCTCTTCTTCGTAGTTTTCAGTGAGTTTTGGTGTGTGATAGTGTCTACTTCACTCCCGAATCTTTGACACATGTTTCCCAGGGGCGAATTAATTCTGCTACGAGGACTGGCTTGAAGCTTCAACAAAGACTTCATCAAGTATTGTGGGCCAAGAAGGTGACTGATCCTTGCTTGGCAAGTCCCAGAAATCTTCCCACAAAAGCTCTGCTTATCTTTGTATCTCTTTTTTTTTTTTTAATGTTACTGCCAGATTTTAGATGAGAGGCAAGTAAACTTTTTCTATAAAAGGCCAGGTAATACATATTTTAGGCTTTGCAAGGTAGCATGGCCTCTATCTCAACTATGAGCTTTGCCTTTGCAGATCGTACACAAGCGAATGGGTGGAGCTGGGGTCCAGTAAAACTTTACGGGTACTAAAATTTGAATTTCATTTAGTTTTCACATGCCATGAAGTATTATTTTTCTTTTGACATTTTTAAGCCATTAAAAATGTAAAAACTATTCTCAGCTTTAACCCCTCACAAAGACAAATGGTAGTCTGGACTTGAATTGTTGGTTGCAGTTTGTCGACTCTTATGTCAGGTCGTCTTTCTTGTATTTGCAAATTCACATAATAAATTTTGCCCCTTCTGCCAGCCTGATATTTATGTAACACTCCAGATCACCTTATTTTTATTATTCTTCCCAGTTAGGCAAAGTTTACACAGAGACCAAGTACGGTAGCATCTTTCTTTTTCTTCTTCTTCTTCTTTTTTACTAGACAGGAGAAAAATTAATTTGGGAATTCTGGAAAAGAACACTTTTTTCAATGAGCTATTAGATCATTGTGTCTTACAGTACTCACAGGAGAAATTGAAAATATTTCAAACATCTTTCTAAACTTTCATAAGCTTGTGGATAACTGAAATATATGTATATATGTATATGTTTTGCTGGATATTGCAAATACTCCAGGTGGTAAAGAGGAAGGGCTTTGGGAACTACCTGGTATCAGATGCTATGATTTTAAAAAATTATCTCACAAAGAGTAAAGCCCAAGTGACCATCTGAGTTGTGGAAATGTCAT